GAGGTTCCTTTATGCTGTTGAGGGGGGGCTGTCAATTCCTTGAATAGTCTAATTGTCTGCCTTCCATTCCCTCCCAGGCACTTATGATTTCTATGTTTAGCACTCCATTATTTCTCTTTCTTTTTTTTTTAAGAATTTACCTAGCTTTACTGAGCTTTTTTTTATGTAGTATTTACTTATTTATTTCTAAGATACAAAAACTAGCAACACATGTTGACAGTTTGCCTCTTTTTTTTTTTAAAATACAGTACAGGCCCCTTAAAATGTTTCTTAAGTGAGACAGGACTGTCATTCAGCAGGTTTATAACACTATTTGCTACAGCTTTATCTGGGTGCAATTTTTCAAGAAAACTTTGCACTTACCACCATTTTGCACACATTTCTTTAATAAGAGCAGTAGGCAAGTTATGTTTGTATGGTCAAGTACCAAGCAAACGGTCAACTGTCAAGCGACCGAACAAAGCGTTCAAATACCAAATTGTTCGAGTTGGAAGCTGTTCGAGTACCAAGGTACTGTATTTATATGATATTTGTTCACAAATATTTGCTATGGATATTGAAAATAATTTGTCAGTTGCTTAAATTGAACTGTTCATCAACTAGTAAATCTCTTACTAATCCATCATTAGCTCTACTGTACTTATAAGGATACTGTATTTGTATCCTGAGTGGGCTTCTCAGACACCTGATACCAATCACAGACTGCAGAAAAGCCTGGCTAGAGAAAAATAGTGCAGAAATGTCTACTCACACCAGGATTGCAGTTGCATGACTAGCACGTTTGCCACGCTGGTAGACAAAACTGCTTTTTAATAGCCATTGGGTGTGATATGGGTGCAAAGGAAGAAAACTAAAGTGTCATGTTACACAGATATCATTAGTACATATACGTTTATACTAATATAATTAATATTGTACAGCCATTAATAAACCTGCATTTATAAAGCTATTGATATCTTAGTTGTCTGTGATTCCCAATGCTCATTACTTGCTCTAAATAGCCTGAGGTCTGAAATTAACATGCTTATTTAAGTGTGAGGCTGGTCACAGATATGTACAAATTATTACAATCTCACATAGGCCTCCAAGAGCATAGTAAGTTTATACCTTGGCTAAACTAGTAGTAAAGAAAGAGAATGTCAAATGTAACCTGTACCTCAAACAGAAGTTTGAAAGATATTGTTACCTGGAGTTCACCTGGAGAGGGTTTCGGGGGTCAACGCCCCCGTGACCAGGTCTGAGACCAGGCCTCATGGTGGATCAAGGTCTGATCAGCCAGGCTGTTACTGCTGGCCGCACGCAAGCTGACGAATTAGGAAAGAAGTTTAAAGAAAGTAGAACAGAACAGAGAGGAAGTACCTGATCCATTGCCTCTTAAAATGAAATGTACAGTGGACCCCCGCATAGCGACTTTAATCCGTGCAAGAGGGCTGATTGTTATGCGAAATGATCGGTATGCGAATGAATTTTCCCCATAAGAAATAATGGAAATCAAATTAATCCGTGCAAGACACCCAAAAGTATGAAAAAAAAAAATTTTACCACATGAAATATACATTTTCCTACACACAAAGAGAAGGATACATGCACAATAGTAGAGTAGTACATGCACAATATATATTGTGCATGTACTACTCTACTAAATGAAGAATAAATGACACTTACCTTTATTGAAGATGCAGCAATGACTGATGAGACACTGTGTCCTGGGAGTGCCTTTTCCTCCTGAGTACTGTAGGTCCTGTTTGGCATTTTCTTCCAGAACAGGCCTTATCACACTGTGTATGCCACTACGATTCTTAAATCTCTCAAACCAACCTTTGCTGGCTTTAAATTCACCAATATGAGCACTAGTTCCAGGCATTTTTCCCTGTTCACCTGGGTGTTAGTCGACTGGTGTGGGTTGCATCCTGGGAGACAAGATTAAGGACCCCAATGGAAATAAGTTAGACAGTCTTCGATGACACTGACTTTTTTGGGTTATCCTGGGTGGAAAATCCTCTGGGGTTAATTGTTTCTTGGTATTCTCAATAAGCCACACCAACAACGGTGCTACAGCAGCAGCAGCAGCAGCTGACAGTGCTACAGCAGCAGCAGCAGCTGACAGTGCTACAGCAGCAGCAGACGATGCTACAGCAGCAGCAGCAGCTGACAGTGCTACAGCAGCAGCAGACGGTACTACAGCAGCAGCAGACGGTACTACAGCAGCAGCAGCAGCAGCAGCTAACGGTGGTACAACAGCAGCAGCAGCTGACAGTGCTACAGCAGCAGCAGACAATGCTACAGCAGCAGCAGACGGTACTACAGCAGCAGCAGACGGTACTACAGCAGCAGCAGACGGTACTACAGCAGCAGCAGCAGCTGATGGTGGTACAACAGCAGCAGCAGCTGTACCACCAATAGTAGCGATGGTTGATTGGGGTTTATTATACAACCTGGCCAGCTCGGAGACACGCACTCCACTTTCATACTTATCAATGATCTTTTTCTTCATCTCTATAGTAATTCTCACCCTTATTGCTGTAGGGTTGGCACTAGAAGCTTTCTTGGGGCCCATGGTCACTTATTTTGCAGATAAAATCACCAAAAACACTGTAATAATACGAAATGTTCCGATTGTATGCTTGGATGTTACCGCGGAGGCTGGCTGGTAAACAATGCCACCGGCGGCACATGTGAGGCTGGCTAAGGGCGCACATTGGACGCGTCTCGGACGAAGAGCGGTGAGCGGGTTTTTGAGCGGTATGCGAGGCAAAATTTTTGCGATAAAAGCGAGCGGTATGCGGATTGAACGTTATGTGATGCGTACGGTATGCGGGGGTCCACTGTATTTTCTAAAGCGTCGGCAGACTACAAAGGCAAGTCTAAGTTCTATGGCAATTCATGACTCAATTTGCATGGAGATTTCAGTCGCTCAAAGTGAAAAGTTTGTGGACGGAGAGACAGAACAGGGGCCATGTACTTGAGCATTATATTTTAGTGTTCAAATATCCAACCATTTAGAGATATCTGAACAAACCATACAGGAAATGGTAAATTGCCTCTTAGTTAATGGTAGGATATCTGAAATCTTGAGATTAACACACTGTGCCAAGTAGGTGAATTACCTTATTTAATGCTATTTTAACCTAATAAGTGACCAGTGTTTATAATAATAATACATGTAATTACTTTTTTATTTTGTTTCATTGTTATGTATGTATAAATGTACATGCATGTACACATTTGCGTGTGTACAGAACTGTGGAAGACACTCATCACAAATGGCCCACTAAACTTGATATTCCCTCTCTGGAGAAATACCCTGACTTTGCTAGCTGTAAATAAAGCATTACCACATGTGTGCATGTGTGTGTGTGTGTGTGTGTGTGTGTGTGTGTGTGTGTGTGTGTGTGTGTGTGCACTCACCTAGTTGAGATTGCAGGGGTCGAGTCCAAGCTCCTGTGTGTGTGTGCGCATGTGTGTTTGTGTGTGCATGTGTATGTGTGGTGTGGTTGTGTGTGTGTGTGTGTGTGTTGTGTGTGTGTGGTGTGTGTGTGTGTGTGTGTGTGTGTGTATCATTTTTGATATCACTAGTGTGTGACTGGGGGTGTGGAAGTGTGTTGTCTTACTGTAGTTTGTGTCTCATGTTGTAGATTATAATCCAAGTACCTGTGTGTGTGTTCAGTACCTTTGTTCTTGTTGAGTTCGGGTTTTAGTTGTGTATAGTTTGGTATGTGTTTGGGGCCCGTGTCTGGACTTGTGTACTGTATATCTGTTAATATTTTGGGGTAATTGTCATCATATTTGACATAACCTACCCAGTTCTTACCGGTTGTAAATTGTGAATTCATTACTCTGTAAATTGCTCAGATGTAACCATTTAAAGGCCCAAGTAACCACCCATTTATTACCTCTGTAATCTTTGACTTCTGAGTCATTATTGGTGCATAATAACCCTCAAAACTTACCTACCCATATACCCTATATCCCGTTAATACCTTTGTTTTAAATTTTGTGAAAACCGCACATTAACCTTTGTAATTGAACATCAACACCAAGTAACATATCTGTAACGATACTTAAATTTATGACCTAGTGAGACTTAATATATTTTGTTCAGCATTATAGACCTATAAGTGGTAGGCATTGCTAAAAATAAAAAATACAGTATGTAAAGTCTTCCTTAAAGTATTGAGGTACTGTACTTTGTAAATTTCTTTTATCAGCATTTTGTAAAAAAAAGAAAATATGAATGAACCCTGGAATTTGCATGGGTTGCATTTCAGGAAATGATGAGAATCCTGAAGCTGCAGAGAATGGGAAATTTCATGTGTCTGAATTATGTATATAAATTTTCATATTTATATTTTAGGTATATGTAGCTGAATTTCAGAAACTTTTTTTTTTGTATTTCTCATTGAATATTGGTCTAATCTTCCTTATATTGACATTAATAAGAATGAGATCATTTTGAATGAAATCCTGTTGTTAGTTTTCTGTTGAGGAGTCATGCACCAAGCCGAACAAAGACAAAAAGGGTGAGGGGTGGGATAAAAATTACATGTATAATCAAAGCTGTCTGCAGAATGACCCCCAGGGGGAAAAAAAAAGAATGTATAATCAAATTAAATGTATTAAGGGGCTTTATTATATGAATACATGTATTTACAGTATAGATAGGTTAATAGCCATAAACATTCCAATACAGTGGTACATCTAATATTGGTCAAAATTCATTCCAGAAGGCTGTTCAAGTGCCATTACTGAACAAATTTGTTCCCATGAGGAATAATGTAAATTAGATTAGTCAGTTTCAGGTCCCCAAAAATACACTTGCAAAAGCACTTATAAAAATACACTTACATAATTGTTCGAGTTGGGAGCTGTTCGAAATTCGAGGTACCACTGTACTTTACAGATTACAGTACAAGTATTATTTTCTGACACTTTTTTTTATTTCATTCAAAATTTTGTCTTGTAATACAACTTTGATGCATTAGTTCTTTTGTTTCCAACAGGCAACAGCCGAAGTCAGATTACACTTACAGCGAGTCGCTCACCTACCGTAAACGGGTGACCCCAGACCGGAAGATTGGGTCCCCGAACATGTCCCGTCGGGGTCTGAAGAGTGGGAACCAAAGTTACAACAAGTCAGCAGACTTCTCAACACACAGCATGTCTCTTGATAGTGACAGTAGTCACTTAAGCCTCAGAACGAGGAATGTACTACGGCAGATGGATGCTCTGTCAGGTATGATAGTTCTCTTGAACTTATGATTTTTTTTATTTGTAACTTTAATGACTGAAAACCAGTTTTGAGCCTTTTTTTTTCTCATAGATCCACCTCTATCATCTGTGTCATACTGCAACATTAATAAAGCAAACCGATTACTGGGATTTATATCTAGACGTGTAAACAACAGAAGTCCAGCGGTTATTTTATAGCTTTATACATCATTAGTAAGGCCTCACCTAGATTACGCAGCTCAGTTCTAGTCTCCATATTACAGAATGGAAATAAATTTGTTAGAAAACATTCAGTGTAGAATGACTAAATTAATACATAGCATTAGAAATCCTCAGTACGAAGAAAGATTGAAGACTCTTAAACTACCTTCACTTCTAAGATGAAGAATGAGGGGAGACATGATCGAAGTAAGTGGAAGATAGGTATTAACAAAGGGGATATAAATAAGGTTTTGAGGATATCCTTCCAAGAGAGAACCCACAATAATGGATTCAAATTAGACAAGTTTAGATTTCAAAAGGATATAGGAAAATTGTACTGGTTTGGTAATAGGGTAGTTGATGAGTGGAACGGTCTGCCTAGTAGGGTTATCGAAGCTAAAACCTTGGGTAGTTTCAAACTTAGCTTGGATAAATACAGTGGACCCCCGGTTAACGAACTTTTTTCATTCCAGTAGTATGTTCAGGTGCCAGTACTGACCGAATTTTTTCCCATAAGGAATATTGTGAAGTAGATTAGTCCATTTCAGACCCCCAAACATACACGTACAAACGCACTTACATAAATACACTTACATAATTGGTCGCATTTGGAGGTGATCGTTAAGCGGGGGTCCACTGTACATGAGTGAGAGAGGTTGGATTTGAGTGGGACTTGCACCTGAGTAAATAGAATTATCAAATGTAGATGAATCGTTCAGAGAATGCTTGGGTAGCGTTTATTCTGTTAGTGGGTTGGATTTATGAAGGACCTGCCTAGTATGGGCCAACTGGCCTGCTGCAGTGTTCCTCCTTTCTTTGTGAACGAGATTATTTGGTGTTTCTGGTAGCGGGGAGTAAATGATACATCTTCGGAGGCTTCTTACTTTATTTGCAAAGTCGTGGTGGGTACACAGGCTTGTGTGTTTGTGCCCATGGCCCGGGAGGGCCATGCCCACGAGGGAGAGTGAAGTAGGACTGTTGACTGAATCTAGGCCGCTGAGTGAGTGAGAGCGAGTGGGACCAGCGTCCCACTTGACCTGGGCAGGCCTAGAGAGGGCAGCACCTGAGTGCTGCGAAATATGAACTAAGCTGGCAGACAGCATAGACTGTCTGTGCAGACAGTACAGGCTGTCTACATTTTGTTCTATCCCTCACACACTTTTTTCATAATACATTATTTTTCATTAATGAATTTTGCATTACTGTATTTCTAATTATCTCAATTTTTATGCTGTGACTCCTATGGCTCTTGCTAGAACTTCATGATGTGCATCTTAATTCTGTTATGTCTGATATTACTGCATTTTCAGTGATGTTTCGGGCATTTGGGTGCAGACCGAAAAAAGTACTATTGAAGCTGTTATACATATGCTTGAACTGATATATACATATGCTTGAACTGATATATTCTGCACTCAAAAAAATTAATTTCCCCTGGGATTTTTCTTAGAGTTACGGAAAGCTTTTTGATACAGTTGACCATGACCTTTTGCACCTAAAACTCGAACATTACGGGGTCAGAAGACACTTTCTCGATTACCTAATATCTTATCCTAGCAGTAGAACTCAGTATGTATACACAAATGGAGCCAGCTCCACTACACAACCTGTACTTGTTGGAGTCCCTCAGGGGAGTCCTTGGCCCACTCCTCTTTCTCATATACATCAATTACCTACCAAATGCATCTAATCTTCTTAAACCCATTTTATTTGCAGATGACACTACTTATGTCTTCTCTCACCCAAACCCAACCATAATAACAGACACTGTAAATGCCAAACTGCTAAAAATATCTTCTTGGATGACTACTAACAAACTTACTCTCAATATAGACAAAACCTACTTCATGCTATTTGGAAACAGAGCTTCAAATGTACAGCTAAATATATTGATGTGATGAATGATTTGAAAAACCGACACGTTGAAGATTGAGACACTTATGCAACATATGGGAATCTTTATTCAGGAAACGTTTCACCACACATTGGCTTCATCAGTCCAATACAAAGCAGAAAGGTGTAAGGAGAGGAGAAGTTTGAGGTAATCAGTCCCTCAGCCTGGAGTTGATGTGTTCAGTCCATCAATCTTGTAGAATGTACAGCATAGGGCCGTAGACGTGCCTTATATACTGTAGTCAGGTGAGGCGAAGCAGGAGGCAGGGTCATAGTGGTACCATCCACTAGTCGAAGTAGGTTTTCGTCCAAAGGTCGGACAAGTGTTGAAGAATTCTTTGTAACAGGATCCCATGGCAAAACGTTTCCTGAATAAAGATTCCCATATGTTGCACAAGTGTCTCAATCTTCAACTTGTCGGTTTTTCAAACCATTCATCACAACTGTCGGACACTGCAGCATCGTGGGATCTTGTTACAAAGCTGCTCATATTGTGCTGAGGATTGCTCAACCACTTATTACTTCAAAATTAGGATGTCTAAATTTCATTGGTTTAAATAGTACTAAATTGTAAAACATCATATTGTAAATTGTTTTCACTTGTTCTGCTGTAATACTGTAATCTTTATAAACTAATTCAATAGTGTAATTATTCTCTACTAGACTTATTAAGCCATGTAGCATTACCTAAAATAATATTCACTTCTCTTGTATTCACTGTAACTTATCTGATGACCAAGTGAACTATTATTGCCTTCCTAATCTCAAGTTAATTTTTAAGTTTGCCCAAAATGCTCTGCATACAAAGAGGCTTTTGGCATGTACACCCAACTATTATATTCCTCTGTACAACCATGTATCATGTCAAAATAAAATTCTCATTCTACTTGTAACTTAACCCTTTGACTGTTTCAGGCCCCTCTCTGAAACTGTCATTCTATGTCGCTCAATTTTTGAAAAAAAAAAAAATTATTTTTTCTTATGAAATGATAGAAAACCTTTTCCCGATGGTAATGACACCAAAAGTTCGAAATTTGGTCGAAAACTCGTGGAATTATGCTCCCGCGAAGTTAGCGGTCTCGGCGACATATGCGTATCGGCGATTTCGCCGACTTTGAGCCCCAATTTTCAGCCAATTCCGTTGTTCCAGTTGACCAAACTCATAGCTATTTCTTTAGAACTCCATTTTATCTATCAGCTGAGTACAAGAAACCTCCCACTTACTAATTTGGACTACCCAATATGGTGGTCAGAAATTGGCAATTTGGCCAATTTCACGCAAAATAAAAAAGATGCCAATTTCAAAATAGGGTCCAGAATAAACAAGGTAGACATTCGTGGCACTAAAATAACATATGCTCTGTTCATTAGTCACATCTCTAGGCCCCTCTTATATTATTATTGCTTTCTATTTTGATTTTTTATTCATATAAAAAAATACAAAATTTACTGTTATGCAGACGACTGCATTATTGTAAAAATGGTATAAATAATATCAGTGCACTAGTGAAAGAATATTAGACTCCCCAGTTGACGTGTATTGGACGTGTGGTGTGATTTATTTACTCTTGAACATTGGTAAAAATCGAACATTTCCGCTACTTTGAGCTCAGTTTCAAGGTCGTTTTCATCGTAAAAGTAATGAAAATCATCTCTATTTCTGTAATATGTTTTCCATTTTATCACCTAAGACCATGAAAACGCGAATACAACGATAAATACTATACGAAAATACAGTGGACCCCTGCATAACGATGGCATCGCATAGCGATTTTTCCGCATAACGATTACTTTTATCGCAAAATTTTTGCCCCGCATACCGATTAAAAACCCGCATACCGATTTTCGTCCGAGACGCGTCCAATGTGCCCTCACATGTGCCGGCCGTCCCATTGTTTACCAGCCAGCCTCCGCGGTAACATCCAAGCATACACTCGGAATATTTCGTATTATTACAGTGTTTTCGGTGGTGTTTCTGGAAAATAAGTGACCATGGGCCCCAAGAAAGCTTCTAGTGCCAACCCTGTGGTAAAAAGGGTGAGAATTAGTATGGAAATTAAGAAAGATTTTGAAGGGTTTGGGGCTAACCCTGAGAAGCCTATGCCAGTTGTGGAATCCATTGTGCCTACTTCAAAGATTAAGGAAATGTGTGCAGAGTGGTTTGAACTGCAAACCTTTATAGATGAAAATCACCCTGACACAGCTGTTGCAAGCCGTGCTTGTGACTATTTCAATGACAATGTTATGGCCCATTTTAGGAAAGTCTTGAAGAAACGGGAGGTACAGAGCTCTATGGACAGATTTGTTGTGCGACAGAGGTCCAGTGACTCTGAAGCTGGTCCTAGTGGCATTAAAAGAAGAAGGGAAGTAACCCCAGAAAAGGACTTGCTACCTCAAGTCCTAATGGAAGGGGATTCCCCTTCTAAACAGTAAGAAGATAATGCTCTCCCCTCCTCCCATCCCATCAATCATCACCAGATCTTCAATAAAAGTAAGTGTCATGTAATTGTGCATGCCTTTTTCAGTTTGTGTGTATTAAAATTAACATTTCATGTGGTAAAAAAAATTTTTTTTCATACTTTTGGGCGTCTTGCACGGATTAATTTTATTTCCATTATTTCTTATGGGGAAAATTAATTCGCATAACGATTATTTCGCATAACGATGAGCCCTCTTGCACGGATTAAAATCGTTAACCGGGGGTCCACTGTACACCTCAAAGTCTGCGTTTTATTCCAAAAAAACGATCAGAGTTTTTTTTTTCTCATTACGCAATGTGTGCTGCAGGATTTTTTTTATGTGGTGCACACTGACCACACAGACCCATTCTCTCACATGTGGGCCTACCAGCTTTCTCCCACTTGATTTGAAGCCGCTAGAATTATTGAGTATATATACGTCAGAAACATT